CGCCAGAATACCCATTCTCTGAAGATGGCTAGACGGGACCACTACCCGAAACGTCAGGCTTATAATAAACCTCTCCCGGTGAACGCTTCTCTTTCTTCTGAACTAAGATTACAGTTATTCTTGTGGGTATTGAAAGAAATTTCCCTTTGTCACATTTCTTTGTAATTATTTCGAGTACGAATGTAACAAGTTGCAGATTGTTGGGGAAATTCTGCTTAACGTTTGCAGAATTTCAGTGTTCTTCTGTGTTCGTCCCCAACTACCTATTTTGTTCAACTAAGATGCCAGAAACTTAAAAATAATAAATATCTTAAAATAGTTTAGTTAAATAATGAATTTTGAAACATTACTTCTTATGCACCTGTCTGCGTGGGCTATTATTTTATAATCAGCCAAACATGTCAAATCGTGGCCGAGAAAAATGTGTGTTCACAACAATAGTCGAAAATGAATAAGTCTAACATTAATTTAAAAACGTCCTTTAAAAGTTACCACTTCATATCGCTTTAGTTAGCTGCGAATATCTGTGCACTCTACCTTTTTGAAGGCAAAGTCAAGATTAAAATGAGATATTTTGACCAGTTTTTATACTTTCCTAAAAAGTTGGGATAAAAGCTTAAAATGCTTAAAATGCAAGAACATACTAAACTATGTAAACCAGGGCAGTTTTTCATATGGTTTTTACTTCAGGGCACAGTTTTTTGATTGCAAATGCAGTTTGACCAAACTCAGACTCGTAAGACGTCAAATGTGTCCATATGCAGTTAGATTATAATTGGTAGAACTCAATTCTTCTTAATACGAGGACGATAAGGTGAACACTCCACTGGGTGGCTTGTTTTGATGTTTAGCAGGATTCGGGGGTTGCCAACACAAACCATTATGGCCCAGCGTCGAACGTGATTTATCTCAAACTATATATCAGAGCTCCCGCTTTCGATTTTCATTCACTTTAATTAAGAAGAAGATGCGATCTCTGGGACAAGCATTTTATTTTCCTGACGTTTCAGATTCTGTCGATAATCCTTACTCATACGATAGTGTGAGAAATATGCAGAATGTGCTGACATATGCACAGATTGCCTGATATTTATAGTTGGTGGGGGTCATTATGAAGATGCATGCAGTGATATCTTGACACTTTAGATTACGCAACTGCCATGATTGGTTTGACCCTGTCGGATGCGGTCTTGATAACTGCGCGACAATTATGGTCTCTGTCATCAGAGTTGTTGCTGTGCTCGTCGCCCCCCCCCCACGTGACTGATTCTCTTGCTCAGCCAATGTCTCAGTACGCTGTAAGGGAACGCCATTTGTTCCGCTTGTTGATTGAATGTGGGCCTAAGAACCATTACTCGAGCAGGATAACCAGCATCTTATAACGTGGGGGCGGAATACAACACTAATTGCGGTCAACTTATGACAAAATCCACGCGAGGAGCCATGCAGCGAGCGTACGAAAAATCGATCAGCCCTTGGTCAACACACACACGCACGCAGTCACAACTTTGAATTGCTGATCGATAAAGTCAGTTCTTGCTTTGACAAAGGACATCCAACCCAGCTGTCCGAAACGTCAGCAGACAAAGAACCACATTCCGGTGAGCAAGCAATGATCTATGATTCTACGCCCGGAATTCTCACTTTTTTTAAACTTGCACTTTCTCTTGTATCTTTCAGCATCCGCTCAGAGCAAATCTGGAAACCATTGCAAATATTGAGCGCAAGGGTATTTTTGCTGTAGTTGTCGTTACTGCCGTCGACGATATTATCCAATTGGGATTCATCTACCCTGGTGATAATATTTCTAAGCATGATATGCCCGCCTACGAGGTTGCCAGACTGGTTCAGTTGATGTGGGTGGACATCATGCGAATACCATTGTTTGAACTTTCGTTAAATGTTTGGCATCATCGACACTACCGAAACTGTTACAACCAATAGCCCGGATCGTTAGGTCCCGCACACACAGAGGTGACCACAAATCCCATCTATGCTGGCATCTCCCTGTTTTGTTCCAAAACTATAGCTGGCAATGTTGACTATTTTAGACGACATTATCTCTATATCATAAACATTCTGCAACTTTATCAATAATATTTTTTGATGTATTATTTCCCAATCATATATTTTAGTCTTGCCAAGTTTGCTTTCCAAACTCTTCTCGATATTGCCCAAGGAGACAATGTTCTATCAACACGGTTCAGGTCGAGAAACTCATTCGTTCTGATTAAATGTTTGGCAAGTAGAGGAGACAAAGTCAAGCAAGCTTAATGCACAAGCGCAAAATAAAAGTCACTTGGTAGGAGAAAAAGACAATAACAAGTGACAGGACAGCTCGACCATCGATGTCGACGGTATCCACCATGTGGTGAGTGAAGCTGAATTATAGTGAAAGTAGAGTCACAGGGTCTACTCCAGTCTCTCTCCACTCCCACTTCGGGAACCGGTTGTCAAGACAGAGTCAAGAAGGTGGGAGGGTGCAGACGGCTGGCGCGACTGACACTCAACACGCGTCCCAACAGCACGTCTTGCTGGGTAGGCTCCCAAAGGGAGCGTCATAAAGGCCACATTAAGGAGGGGCCATTGAGTCTGACTCTTAGTCCGCAGACGGCCAGACCACACAACAAGACTCACTGGACCGACTGCGGTGTCCGGGTTAACCCGTCAGCTGGCAACCCTCAAAGCCACGGCTTTAAGCCTACTGCGATAGCTTCAAGCGCATCGGATTCATCATAGTGGGTCTATAGGACATAAGGCTAAGACGGTTAACCCTAACAGCTACAATCTTCCAAGCCCGGTTCGTTAGGAGATGGGAGAAGTCTTGGGAAGGCCAGAATAGAAGGAATAATTTATTGTGTACACAAAGAAACGAAGAATAGGTGAAGAGAATGATAAAGTTCGCGATCCAGATATTTGCATGGACGAGTAAGAAAGCGTGCCGAGCACTTGATCAATTGATCTGCTGCTCGACAAGCCTTCTTCCTCGTCCAGGTGAAGAGAAGTTGGACTTCGGAGCACACGTCATTCCGCCGGAGAGCCGTGGTCCTAAGTGATGTCTAGTGGCCGAGAGTGTGGAAAAAGGGACTTGTTCCAGTGTGCTTGGGCAGCCGCGAGAACCTAGACGCACTTGTGTGTGTCCGAGTGGAAGTAGGTCAAGTCTCTCAAGGTCAGCGCTGACTGAGGTGTTGGATGACTTTGAGGCAGCTGGCGTTGAACAATGACGCCGGACAGAGCAATAGAGGGCGTCGGACGGTAGAGACCGCTACAGGTCACCCCACTCTCTCCTCCACTGCAAGCGACAGCCAACGCCTGACTGTCAGCCGCCTGTGGTGGGATGGGCTCAGGGCTCGAGGTGTGGTTGTGCAAGGGAAGAGGCGGACGAGAGAAAAATCAAGAGAGACGGAGAGCGAAGGGCAATAACGAGGAAATGAAAGAAATAGAGGGAAAACGAGAAAATGAACGAACAAGAAAGAGGAGACAAGGAGAGCGAAAGCGAGATCTAAACGAAAAGGAGAGCATGTCAGAAATTAGAGAAGGTCGTAACAGATGACACACCGTATAAATATTCAGCATTACCCGTGAAGCTGGAAATGTGATGCAAACTTGCGGTAGCGTCCGTTTGATAGCGTAATGACCCTTGGCCTGAAGAGTGCAACTTAGCAACTGCAACATATGGCTAAAAGAAGGGTCACACTAGCAATAAGATAACTCATCACTCTCTTTCTAACATACATGGATATAATCTAAAACCTCTTTTAAGTATTCTAGCACATTATTGTTCGCCAGCCGACAAAAGAACACAACGAATATGTAACAGTTGTTCCATCTTCCAAGCTGTTGACAAAAAAGCTGACGAGGTATTTCGATAAGTCAGAATTGCTCATGTGATACTTTGCAGCATGCTCGGAAAATATTTAAATCACACCAATAAATTGTTTTTTTAATGAGCTGCATAACAACCACCCGAGAAATCACAGCGGGTAGCAACATGCTAGTCAATTGGTATGGATATTACTGCAATGTTTTCTAGGCAACATTAATTTAAGTACTGCACCCCATATACCCCTAGTATCACCATTTTGTCCTATGGAAACGGTGATTATAGTGGTTTTAAGGGTTGGGAATTATGATCGGCAATGAAATATGCTTTTATAACTGCTATATGCATTGGTATTTTGTTGTTATGGATTTATATATGTAGGCTTCCCTAATCTGTATTATCATTTAGGGAAATGGGAAAAACCCGATTATCAAAATGCGGTTTTCTGGAAATTCCTGAAATAATAGAAATAGTGGTTAGGACGTCGTCTACCTCAACTTACCTGAGACCCAGCTTATCGCTCTGGGGTTAAATTAGTTTAGTCAGCGGCGCGAAGCGCCGTGCGGACCTTCAATTAACTTATTCCCAACAGCCGCGGGAAAAACATTCGACTACATTTATTCACTTAACAGTTATTTCTACAAATATCTTTCATTGCTTACCCTATTTCCCCCACCCCAGAACCCCACTAACTACCGTTTACGTAGGACAAGGATGCTGAGATAAGGGTATATGCAGTGCACTACTTAAACAACCTTGCCGTTTTCGAATGACTTCATACTTCATCCCAAAGGATTAGAAGAATAAGAAGAAGAAGAAGAGGGGGCGGTTTCGTTGACCAACTTATTTTTGAACTGAAGTTTCGGTAAACTTTTCGCCTCCCTCGTCATAGTATTGCATTTGCCGCGTCTGGTGGTCTCGATTTAGCTAGGCTTGTCATCTGCTTCGTATTATACCCGTGCCGGACACGTGCACTCTGACCTGCCAGTGGGTTACTGAGTGCATTTGGTCTCCCAGAAATTGGCTTCTGGCGGGCTGGCCCGTGCTGGTCTACGAACCCACACCTTTTTATTCTACTTCTTTGGGAGATACTGAGCGTGATAAAATGTCTGGACCCCGAATCGTTAAGTATATACATATATACAATATGGAGAGTGCTGCGTGCAAAATGCCTAAGTTCGTAAAAGTTTGACCAATGCTCGCATAACGGTGTGAAGACATTTCACAAATCTTAGAAATAATAATGAGAAACGTTAGTGTACATTCAATTCCTAAAGGAGTATAAAAAGTACTAGTTGTTTTTTTACGAAAAATAAAATTTTTTAAATAATTCCAATGTTCCGGAGACGTAAAAATAGCTATAAATTATAAAAAATTATTTTTATTTTTTCCTTTATTTGAATACATGAGCTAACAACTTTCAGTCAAACTTTTTATACATATTACCATTCATTAATAACTATTCATTTAATATCGTACTTTAAATTCTGGTACAAATTCGAGCGTTTTCAGTGTCTTCATGTGTTTATCCATCAATTTAGATTCCGCTCGACATTTAAATTCAAACTTTTAAAATAAGATAAACATTTATCGAAAAAAAATAGTTTAAGGATATTAGTTCTTATAAAGATGGCCAAGTGGAGTATATTTGGAAATGCCTCAAAACAACAAGCTAGATTGTGGAGCATAAAGAACGCCCGCGAGACAACTCGGGCATTGTTATTCCTAAGAATAATGCAGAAAATTTCTATAAAAAAA